GGGTTGGGTGGGGGAAGGACATTGGATTGGATTGGATTGGATTGGTCCTCCCCGGCGTCGATCACCCGCATGCCATGGACTTATCCATGGGATCTCTCTATCCATGGGCCAAGGCCAAGGCCAAGGTATTACTTGCCCGGATATTGCATTGCTCATATCCATCCAGTGTGTAGACTGAGGGAGTCAGAGGGAGCTTGCTTTACGCTCTGCACGGACAGTACAGACAGTACAGACAGTACAGTACAGAGTAGATAGTACAGTGCAGAGTCGTGGAACATGGGATCTGCCATTTCCAAATCAAGGACGAACCAGCGTATCTGAATTGGAGGCAGAGGTAGAGGTAGAGGCAAGAGGCAAGAGGCAAGAGTTCCCGAACAGCAAATGGTGATTGTACAGTACGTACGTGTATTGAATTCGCGGGCCCAGTATCAACGGTGAAGATGAAGATGGATACTAATTGTGCCCCATTGTCCCAAGGCTTATTAAATAAATAAATAAATCATAATATACTCAAATCACAATATCACTAGATTCTCTCGATCAAACTGAAGATTTGTACATTCTAGAAGCTGCAAGAAATGTCTATAACTGCACTAAAAACTTAAGAAAATCAAATCAAATCTCCGTCAAAAATATGCAAAAGATGCAAAATTCTCTCATCGTAGAGAGAGTTGCAAACTATCCTCCTTCCACAGTATCAATCCATTCAACATCTCGAAGGGTATACGAGAGTTTACAGTGTTACACAGGGAACAACGGATCCCAGAACTTCTAGAAGTCTGCAGAGGATATAGAGAGATGTATTAAAACATGGCTTGACAGGTTGGAGATAAACAAATGAAAGCAGTAATAGCATTCTGATGGAAGAAGGTTCTGAAGATGTAGGTAATGACCTCTTTACAGAATATATTATAGAGAGACGTGGTCATCGGGGGACTTCCCCACATTCCAGTGATGCACGGGGCATTCCTATTTTAGGGCTATGTAGTTAATCTGTAATCTGTAGTCCGTAAAGTCTCATCGTACCCTTGCTGACGTCATGCCTCGGCAAAGCTCAGGGCACCTTTTCTCGGGTTCTATGCGTACATACTGTAGCATACGCGGCGTACGCAGCAGATACTGGGATTGATTACTCCGGAGTCCGGAGTAGATACAGATACGGATACAGATAACACCATGGCATCATGATCATGATCCAGCACCCTGGCCTGCCGGAATTGCCGCTTCATGTTCTGGCCGGGAGAAATGCGAGCAGTCCCGCCTTTGGTTCACACATGGCTAGTGGCTTGCGAACGGGGATTTCAAACAAAGCGGAAGGGGATGTGAAGATGTGAGGATGTGCAACAGCTAAAACCCTCCAGACAGCCGCAGTTACGGGTTATTTAGTATTCTTATTGGAGTCGCCCTACTCCGTATGTGTATCCGACCTGCAGCTGGGGCGGTGGCAGCTGACTGCAACCGGTCGAGCCGTCTTCAACTGTGCTCGATTGATTCCTCACCAGCCCTGGGTACTTCGGCAAGACGTACCCGTGGCGCCAAGACTGCGCTTGCTGGTACCTGCCCGGCCGTACCACCGTCGGCACGGTATTCCCCCTGGCCCATGTCCCATGTCCTATTGTTTGTCCTATGTCCCCCATAATGGTCCATGGTCCAGGGCCACCAGGGCCAGGGCCAGCAGAGTTTTTTTTTTTTTTTGACTTTCTGCGATCTTGCTTTTGACTGTTTGGAATTTTGGAATTTTGGAATTTTGGAATTTTTGAATTTTTGAATTTTTGAATTTTTGGAAGTTTTTGATCTCGAATTCCGAGCTGGCCCTCGCCCTCGCCCTCGCCCTCGCCCTCGTCCTCGCTTACCACACAGCTGTTCTCACTCAACTCGCTACTCCGTAGTTAGTTAGAGTTGACTATTACTATCCAACCCTCCCTTTTATCTCCTTCTCTCCCGGTTTTGTTTCCTTTTTCTCTCCATCCATCCAGCCTGCCCGCTTTTCCGCCTTCTCCGCCGCCGAGCTCCCTCTGATCTCCGAGGACCCCCCGGCTTCCCTTTCCCTTCCTTCCTCCCTTCCTTCCTCCCCCGAGACACCCATCACCCAGTCACCAGGATACCACGTGGGCACTCATCCACCGCTGCCTTCTACCATCTCTCGTATCCGTGAATTCTTGCTTGTCCCGGCAACATCGTGCACTGCCAGCGACTGGCAACCTGCTGGCCAGCTTGGAGACTAGTATGTCCCTGCTCGTCACCGTCACCACCACTACTACTCTCCATTCGACTCGATATTCGCTACGTCCCGATGTGACTTGTGCAGACTGAGACAAAGAGTGTGTCAATTCCCTACCATGACGACCCCGCAGGATACCGCCACGGCTCCCGGTGTTGTTGCTGGTTCTGGCTCTGGTTCTGAGAAGGACCAGCAGCCGCCCGACGAGGCCTATGACGCGCAGGTTTGGCGCGGCTCGAACAATCACTCGGACGAAGAGACCCCTCCAGATGTGAAGAGCCCGGGTTCGGACACAGTACAGCCCAAGGCGCCGCCACTGCAGAAGCGACGGAGGGTGACGAGGGCTTGCGATGAGTGTCGACGGAAGAAGATCAAATGCGACGGCAAGCAGCCGTGTACCCATTGCACGGTTTACAGCTACGGTATGTGTTAACGGGGGTTGGTGCATTTGATTTTAGAGATGTCTTTCCTCTCCCCCCCCCAACTCTTCCCCAACTCTTCCCCAACTCTTCCCCAACTCTCCTTCAAACTGAATATGTGGCTGATTCGTTTTGAGTCCTCTTCTTCTCTTCTCTCCTCCCTTAGACTGCACCTATGATCAGCCTTCGAACCGCCGGCGAAATCCTGCCCCGCAGTATATCGAAGCTCTCGAGAACCGGGTGCACAAAGCGGAGGCCATTCTCCGCGCGGTCATCCCCGATCTTGACATCAACGATCCTCGCTTCGATACCGTTGGCCAGGAAGAGCTGGTGGCGCGGATCAGAGACCGGTTGAAGATCTCCGACGATGCGGACTCGGACTCGGCGGGACAGCAGCCAGCGGGCCACGAGCGGGGTGAGGAATCGCTTCTGGAATCGATGGTCGATAATACGGGCCTGCTTGATGTTGACGACCAAGGCCACTGGGATTACCATGGCCACTCGTCCGGGTTGATATTCATGCGCCGTTTGCGGAAACAGTTTGGCAACCTTCCCGACCCTCGACCCGAGGACCGGCCCACAACCAAGTTCCAGAACATCTCCCACATCCTCGAGGGCGCGAAATCGTCCTCGGAATCCCCAATTGACTCCCATCTGTCCCCGCTTCATGACTTGCCGGACAGAGACGTTGCCCGCAAACTCTGTATGAATACCCTCGAGGATGCCTGCTGTATAATGCCGTTGCTGCACATGCCCAGCTTCTATGTCATGTTCGATCGAATATATGATACCCCGCCGGAGAATTTCTCCAACGAGGAGAACAGTTTCTTGCCCTTGCTATATCTTGTCCTCGCCGTGGGCTGTCTCTTTAGAGGGGTTGGCGATTCTACATTCGATAAGTCGGGTTACGAGAGCGCAACGGATCAAGGGTACGTACGGCCTTTTTTTTTTTTTTTTTTTTTTTTCTTTCTTTCTTTCCTGCTTTCTCTCTTTTTTCCTTTATCTTCCTTTTCCCTTCCCCACCCAAGGGACTATATATATACATCATCAGTGTGATTCGTGAGTTTGTTTCCTGACATTTTACCTCTAGGTTTCGATATTTCAAAGCGGGGCGGCAGCTTCTTGACATCACTGAATGCCGTGACCTCACCTCTCTGCAAACTGTCTGCTTCATGATCCTATTCCTCCAGTCGTCAGCAAATATCAGCACTTGCTACTCCTACATTGGCATTGCGCTGCGTGCGTCGCTTCGCCTTGGACTCCATCGATCCGTCTCGGCCAATTTTAACCCTATCGAGCTAGAAACTCGCAAGAGGGTATTCTGGGTGGTGCGCAAGATGGATGTCCACGTCAGTACAATCCTTGGTCTGCCATCCATGCTCAGCGAGGACGACATCGATCAAGAATACCCGCAAGCCGTCGATGATGAGTTCATCACCGCGGAGAGGATTCTACCAGTCCCGCTGAACCATATCACTCTGATGGCCGGGGTGAACGCCCACATCCGTCTGGGTCGCATTGTCATGAAAGTGCTGAAGTATATCTACCCGATCAAAATCGCAAATCAGAGCGCAAACCATACGTACATGGTGAGCCACTCGAAAATTCGCGAACTCGAGCGTGATTTGCAGGCGTGGCATGAGGATCTCCCCGATTCATTCAGACCCGGGGGGGATGCCCCTCCGCATATTGAAAGGTGTGTTGTCCACACGTATTCCCGGATTCCCGTATTTCCGTATTTCCGTATTCCCGGATTTCCCGGATACCTAATATTTACCCTCTCACGCTGACTGACTGACTGCCCAAACAGGGTAAGGCAATTACTTCGGATAGGTTATGCCCACGCGCAGATGGTGATGTATCGGCCATTCCTCCATTATGTCACCGGCAACTCCCAAGAGCGGAAAATTGACAAACGGTCCTTTGCATGTGCGGCTGCCTGCGTGAGTGTGGCGCGCAATGTCGTTCACATTACTGCTGGCATGAAAGAGAAAAAGCTTCTCAACGGCTCCTACTGGTTCACGATGTACACGACGTATTTTGCGGTTTTGTCGCTCCTCTTTTTCATCCTTGAAAACCCCGAGTCGGCTACTGTCAAGGATGGCATTTTGAAAGATGCGCTCGAGGGCAAGAATGCGCTTGCCGGACTTGCTAAGAATAGCATGGCTGCAGATCGGTGTGCTCAGAGCTTAAATGTTTGTTTTGTTCCCCATTCGTTCTTCTCCCCTTCCGGCCAAGTTTTTTCAATTCATCTACTAATAAAAGGCCTGGGCCTCCTTTTAGTCTATTTTCAAACACCTGCCGGAGAAATTGCAAAATCGACGAAACACCCCGACGCCCTTGAATAGGAAGCGTGCTCAACCTACACCACCACCAGCATCGAAAACCAAGGGAACAATGACTCCGCCACACTCTAACTCTGCTACTCCATCGGAAAATATGGTCGTGCAGCCTCCCCAAAGATCAAAAACATTCCCTGTTCATCTTGTGTCGAAGCAAGTGGGCCAAGCAAAGATTCAGACACTAGGGGCCAGTGTTGACGATAATCATCATTTTCAGGCCGCACGCTCGTGGAGGGTGAATGAGCAGTCCCCTCTTGGTCTGTCTCAGGCTACTCCATCATCTGTTAATGATGAGGATATGTTTCGAAGTTCGTTGACGCCGTCACCGTCGCCAATCTCTGTCTCTCAGCAATCGCTTTTGCCTGCTAATCTCCACCAGCAGCAGAATCATCAGCAACAGCAACAGCAACAACAAGAACAGCCACCTTCGGTGTCATCGTCTGTGAAACAGGACACTTCGTTTTCTCCTCCCTTGGATAGTATGGCCTATATACCGGATCTGATGCCCATGATGTTCCCGTCTGACGACCCGTTCGCCTATCCCACTCAACCCATGTCGACGCTTGAAAATAACCATTTCAAAGGCGAATCCAACATCGCGGGAGCGCAGTTTGGATTCACATCGTCCTCGTCCTCTGCAGATCCAACATCAGCGTCTACTCCAATTCTAGACCCGTTCCACCGCTTCCAGTCCTTCAGCAGCAATAATAACAACCAGGATACATCCGGTAGCACAGCCTCCTCGTTACCACCCCATCTGAAACAGTTCCCCCAGCTTTCCACCCTTGGCGACCCAATGGCATCCGCATCATCGTCTACGTCACCCGGAGGCCTCTTACAAAGTCCCGAACTCATCTCGATGTCGGATGAGTCTTTCTTCTGGCAGGACCTAAAATCACACCAGCTGTCACAACCTCAACATCCATCATCCCAACAGCAGCAGCATCATCCACATGACAGCCGTGACCACCATATGTCAGGAACCCCCGGATTCGGCATGGGGATGGGGATGGGGATGGGGATGGGGATGGGGATGGGAGTGGCTGGTTTCGGCGGCCTCGGAATGGGCATGGGGATGAATATGGGAGTTGACTTGGATGATATACTGGGCAATATAACCGCTGGCGCGGCCAACGATGCTGCTGATGGCGTAGGTACCGCGGGGCCAGAGGGGAGTATCGAGTGGAGCCAGTGGACGGACACGGGATTATGACAGCAGGGGGAGTTGACAAAAAAAAAAAAAAAAAAAAAAAAAAAGAATGAATAAAGAAATAAAAGGAAATAATCAATCCCGCAGGTATGTCGCAGGTATGTACCTTTTTTATTTACGCCTTTCAACAAAGCCGGGGTTTTGGTTTGTTTTTTGTATAGAGAAATAACGATTTCCAATTTTCCCCATCATCTCCGTTTGTTGGCGTCCATGCATGCATGATAAAACCAGAAGTGAAGTTTTTTTCTTTTTTTTTTCCCATTTTCCACATTGTGGGACTATTTCATATTCCATTCTACTATCATTCTGTTCTTAGGCTTTCGTTCCTATCATTTTTGCATTTTATGACGGTGATGATGACGAATGATGTCGCGACGGCGTGGGAGCGTTCCATCGGTCCCTGATGGAAATCTTTTCCCGTTTTCTCTCCACTCCGTTCTGTTCCTAAATCTTGCAACGATGTTTTTTTTTTTTTTTTTTTTTTTTTTTTTTGTTCCTTTTCGTGTTTTCTATTGATGTCTGTTGATAGAATAGTATCTATTTCTGGTCCTGGCCATGGTTCCGAGTCCTGCAGGGGTCCTTTGGTTTTCGAGCTTTTATATCTGCCAATTTTTAAAACTTTGGCAAATCCTATCTTATCTTCTCTCGTCTTCTTCTTCTTCTTCTCCACGTTATTTACTTTTTCCCTTTTCATTTTTTTCGGCTTTTCCCTCTACTTGCGATAACAACATAGACAAAAATATAGCTGTACATATACATACATACATACATACATACATATAATGTACAAACCATATTAAATACCCAATCGAACTACAGTAAGTTAGCTTATCCTTATCCTTATCCTTGCGCTCCACGTTATCTGATGCAACGCCAACTCCAACTTTCGATCGATACTAGTATAGACCGTTTAGTTAGCCAGTATATATCGATATGTATATATACGCCGTATATATCCATTTCACAACACAGCCCATGCATACATAATCCCTCACCAGCTCTTGCTCTCCGCTGTCCAACCTCCAACCTCCAACCTCCAACTCACACGACAAAATGTTCTCCAACCCCCTCACTCCAAGCAACGCAGTCAGGCGATCCTTTCACAAAATCCTCCCCCCCCCCAGGGGTCCCCTACTCCCCCACCCCCGGAGCTCGTGTGCGGGCGGATACGGAAGATACGGAAATACCAAAAATACCAAAAATAAAAACCCCAGTACCCGGTACGGTATGTAGTTACATCCAATCTGCGTTGGCCGTTGGAGTTGGAAAATCAGAAGCAATTAATTTACGCTGTAACTATCCGTAACTACTCCGTAATCAATTCAATCTTAATCAATCAATCAATCAATCAATCAATCAATCAAGCGGGCCCCCCCGCACACGCACACGCACACGCACACGCCAAGCGCTATTCCAGAGCAAAAAGCTGACTTGGTTGCTTTTTTTTTTTTTTTTTTTTTTTTTTTTTTTTTTTATTTTTCGTTTGTTTGTTTGTTTGTTCTCCTTTCTCCTTTCTCCTCCCCGGACAAACAACTGGCGTTCTTTGCGTCCTGACTACGGAGTATCTACCTATCTATCTATCTATTGGAGTGCGACGGGTTGGAAGTGGAAGTGCAAGTGCTAGAGACTAAACTAGTTAAAAGAAGTCGCCGTTGTTGCTCTGTGTGTGTTCGATCTAGAACCGCCCCCCTACCGCAGCCCTGATAGCGCGGTTGTTGTGGACGAATGGATTGTCTGCGGTGACAACATGGCTCTGTCGCCATTGGGGCTGTTTTGGGGGGGGTGTACGGAGTACGGAGTACTTACTGGACATGTATTCTGTACAGATTACAGAATATGCAGATGTGGTTTCCATTGGGGGCAGGGGCCTGGTAACTTAGTTACATATGCAGTAGTTAGGGAGCCAGGGCAAACGAAATTGACTTTCTTTTAAGTTTCGGATTTGCTCCAGTTAGTCAGCCAGTCATTTCTTCGGCTACCTACGACCTTCGGTGAGGAATGGGGTTCCTTGGTTCCTTTGTTGCTGAACTAATGGAATGCTTTGGAGAAACTTGTCCTTGTATTGATTTGTGTTGTATTGTATTATTACTACTTTTTTCACCATGTCCTACCTGTAGCAATTTGGAAAGCCAGAAATTGAAGCTGGAAACGGAGGAAGAGGGGAGTGATGGCAGAAGAAGAAGAAGAAGAAACAAAAGCCTCGCTTTTTTTACTCGTGCTCGGCGTTGGTCTTTGAAGCCGCTTCGGCGGTCAACCTTAGTGCTGCTGGTGTGTCCGTCTTGGGGATATGTAGCTCGACAAGCTGGTGTTATTTTCAGAGTGGAAAAAAAAAAAAAAAAAGAAAGGAGTTAGCTCTTATGTTCTTCCCTTTCTCGAAAATAATCAGAAGGGCAAATTTATGCAAATGTGGTACAGGTAAAGATCAGTTAGTGGGCTGGGTGAGCGCAAAAAGGCAAGAGGAGAGACAAACTCACCTGTAAAGTCTTAGCAGAGGAAAAGCTCTCATCCGCAAATAGGTCTGCTAATTCCTTCTTTGTCTTGACGGCGTGCGTTTTAAAAGTGCTCGACTTGGCCCCGAATGCTGGAACGAGATCGCCAAATTTCCAGGGCTGGATGTCGTTGTAGGACGCATCCCAACCGTGAATGCATCGTTCGATGGTGTAGCCGTCGTTGCAAATTACGAAGCTATAGTCGTCAGCGATTGAGATTGGAATTTTTTCATCGTCTCCTGAGCGCTATGTTTTATCGGTGTTTATCTAAAAAGGGTTTGTCAACTCACATGATAGGCGTTAGGTTATACCGGATTATGGTGCTCAATTCCTGTGCTGTTAGCTGAAAGCTGCCATCCCCGATAAAGAGTACGGTTCGTCGGTTTTGGTTCCCCCGCTTCGCCGCAAGCGCAGCACCTTGACAGGCACCGAGCGCATAGCCAATACTGCCCCACAGAACCTGGCTCAGGGCAGTGACTCCTTTGGGGAACCTCGTCTCCCAGATGCCGAAGTTGGCAGTACCTGTTTCAGTTATGATGATGTCCTTCTCTCTGAGCCATTGCCCAACTGTAGGCCAGAACCAGGCATGGGATATAGCCGATGTTTCACTAGGTTCCTGTTTTGATGGCTGATTTATGACATGGGGATCCGGAGTTACATTTAACTGCCCCATACGGTCGACCACTTTGCGAAGAACGCCCTTCATGTGGACATTTGGGTATTCGGAGTAGCGAACGGCAACGAAGTTGCTATGGAAATCAATTGAGTTCATACGACCGATACGATACGTAAATCCAGCCGTGTTGAAGTCTGACTTGATGGCGCCAATGTTAAGGATCAGATCGGACGACTCAACGCGTTCTTTGACCCCTGGGTTTGAACCATTGCCGGCATAGACACCGCCGTAGTTCGGAAGTGATTCATCAATGGCACTCTTTCCCATTGGTGTGACGAAAGTCTGCAGACCGGATTTTATGACGAGGTCTTGTACTTCGTCAAGGACACGGTGCCTGATGGCGCAAGCGTCTACCAGAATGACTGGCGATTTCGCCGCATGAAGATATTTCAAAACAATGTCCACGACGTATTCCTCCTTTTCCACTTCGTTTTCTGGGCGTTTCAGGTCAATCGGCGTCTTCAGACGCTCTCCTTCCACTTTCTTCTTCGTCATGTCAGTGGGCAAAGTGATATATACTGGCCGACTTCGAATCCAACACTCCCTTATGGCGCTGTCGATCAGGGCAGCAGCTTCATGTGGGTCATTCAACTTGGCGACGTAGCATGAAATGTTGGCGCTCATGTTAGCGAAGACATTGAAATCCCCGTTGCCCAATGTGTGATGAAGCAACATGCCGTCACGCTGCGAAGCTGTACTGGGTTGGCCCACGATGTGCACAACGGGGACAAACTCGGAATAAGACCCTGCGACGGCATTCAGTGCGGAGAGCTCTCCGACCCCGAAGGTCGTGACGAGTGCTCCCATTCCATTCACGCGTGCGTAGCCATCCGCAGCGTATCCTAGAATGAGGGAGTTAATTTCTGATAGTAGTTGCTTTTTATGACCGGAGTAATTGCATCCAGAAATTCCCGGGACGATCCGTTTACACATTGCATACCAGCGTTTAACTCATTGCAATTCCCAACCCACTGGAGACCGCAATTCGGCAGATAGTCCAACGCCACTAAGTTGTAGTCACCTGGGAGAATGTTTTATTAGCACGATCCAGTTGCAGGTTGATTGAGAGCGGATAGGCGGGTAGATACCCGGAACGCCATGGACAGCTCGAATTCCGACCTGATAGAGCCGCGTGAACAGGTAGTGGGCAATGTCGACAGGGGATTTAAGTTCCTTGCTTGGAATTTCGGTTGCCATTATAGCTCTAATCGATGGACGTAGATGTAATGGACTTGTTGATGAGGGAATAGACCAAACTGAACGGAAAATGGCAGCAATGGCAGCCGTGGGGGACAGAGGAATCTAGATGAGGGGCTGGAACCAACTTTAAGTAGAGAGCAGAGGTTGCCATTTCTGCACCGTAAGCTGGGATGGCCGGGACGCTGACATCGAGACAAACATGGTTTCCTGGCGAGTTGGAGATCTGGAACGACGAATGAACCAGGTTATGAGTTATGATGTCAACCGCCGCTGAGACGGAGGCTGACGGCTTTAGTCAGCAACACCCTATGTCACGTGAATATATCATTTTTTGGCAGTCGAGACGTCACTCCAAGCAAAAGATCTTGACGGGAATACAGTACGGGGATGGGACGGGAGACGGTAAGAAACCTGAAGTAGATTTCGTTTTTAGGATTGCTGCCTTGGTCCAGGCTCGTCTCTGATATTTCGAGGAAGTAAAAATTATCCCTAGCGCTAAATTGGTCGCTCGAACCCAACTCTAAACGCCAGAGACCATTCAAGATCAGCTAATTGTATGTGAGTATCTTTGAAGAAATGCAACCTTGATGAGAGGAGGCTGGGATTGGTATATTTCAATGAGTTGGCGTTACTTTTGATTTCCACTAACTTTTATCCTTAGGAAGAGTTCGGCTCACTGAAAAGCTGACCGTGGGGAGTGTCCCTTTGGGTTTTTGCATAGCTTTGTACTATTCTTTATGTCGGTCCCTGCAAAAAGATTTCACGATGGTGGGGTAGATAAATCATCAAAGAAGACCAAGGTGTGCATGCGCTCTTTGCGTGTCTTCTTTACATAACCCCCTACTTTTTCGGCTCTTGCGAAAAGTGTCGGCTCCAACAGCTCGCCTGGTTCTGGTATAGGATTATCTAACATTGAGACGACGTTAGAAATCAAATCTCTGGTTCAACAAGAGCAACACACGGCAATGGAGCTACAGACGTGTTATTGAGAGAGGCGATGCGGGAATGTTTGTCACGTCCAACCGGGGAAAGGAGGCAAAATGCGTGTCCGAGATCATAGACTTACTCTACCAAGTCAGTTTTTACCTGGGGGCATTTTTCCTATCTCTTCTGCTCCACCCAGCATTCAGCGCATCAAAAACTCATCCTGCATTATGAATTAGGATCTTGAAGGCCAAAGCCTTCGTGTTGAAACAACAAATCGTGGAGAAGCATCTACTTCGGATGCGGATTGTACACAACAAGAAGAGAAGGAAGATGGCGATATCGAGGCCCAAATTCGCAAAGAAATAGGTGACATGAAACCAAATAAGAGCACTAAAAAAGACAGCAATACTTTCCAGGCAGTGAAACTGGACATACCTTGCCGTGCGTCTATTAGCATGCAATTCACCCCTTCCATTCATGGTTCATGCCTCAACATTCTCCATCCAATTCCCTCCTAACATTTACATTTCCCCCGCCCATTCAAATCCATAGTATCCTTCATAAAAATCGACAAAACGCTCGATCCGGTCCAAATTGCCCATCGCCTCTGCAAAGAAGCGTCGGAAGATCCAGCCAAAAAGCGCAGCCGATGGATCCAGCGAATAACGCCCGTAACGCTAACGCAGAAGGTCCTCGGGGGTGGCCTTGAGCAATTATCACGCGAGGTTCTGAAACCACACTTCCACTCTGGCGGGCCGTCGAAAAAGGTAAGAAGAATTCCCCGGAGGGTTTTCACAAGCTATCGCGATACAATTCCCCTTTTAAAGAAACCTCATGGTTTTCCCATTCCACTGCATCCCATTGGCCCTATCTTCTTCCATCAAAATCACAACGCAAAATCCCCCAACTATGCTCTCCCACATCCCCAAAACAATTCCAAACTAATATATTCCACCGCCTGCACCCAACATCCCAGTATGCCATCCGCACCTCGATAAGGAACAACACAGAATGGACCCGCGACACCGTGATCCCTCTCGTAGCCAAAGCCGTCGGACCCGGCCACTCGGTCAATTTGAAAAGCTACGACGCGCTGGTCCTGGTGGATATTGTCCAGGTAAATAAAATACTGTTGTTGTTGTTGTTTTTGCATCCGGC